TTTCTACAAGTACATGTACAAGGTATACAGTCCTAGCTGACATCAGTGACGTACTACTATATACAAAGCCGCTTGTTATGCAGAGCATTTAGGGCAGATTTGGTCAGTTTTGCCCCAGGATGCGACCCACACAAGTCGACTAACACCCAGGTACCCATTTTATTAATGGGGAACATAGACCACAAGTGTAAAGAAACACGCCCAATGTTTCTTTCTGGATGGGAATCGAACCCGGACCCTCGCCCTGTGAAGCGAGAGCTTCAGCTACCAGGCCTGTAGGTGCTGTTCTCGATAGCATCCCTCCCACCTCTCCCATTCCTTACATCCCCTCATCATTCATGAAGGGATGAGAATCTTGAAAAAGCTATAAGGGTACCTTGTGTTCTCTGTAGGTGTAATGTATACATTATATAGACGGTACGTATTTTGGGTTCAAGTGGAGGCTTCCAATCAGCGATATGTTGGCTAATGGCAGCTATTTATTGTATTATGTTCCACAGTATCTCGTTTGGGTGTTAATGAGTCGCACAGAGAGTGCTCGCATCCAGTCGTCTCATAAACAGAAACGTTGAGATAACAGTTAACTACTGGAAAGAACTTCCTATCAAACTTCCAAACACACCCATTTTAAGGTTCCTTTTCTTCACGGCGTTTTACCATAAGCCATTCCCATATTCAGTCTAGTCATCCCTAAAATCACGTACCACTATCCCCAAACCTTGTCCATGGATATTGAATATATTCTTTGGACACAGTGACATCTTCCTCCAAAGTCATCGTAAGTCAATGACTTCTCATCTTTGCCTCAGCCACCGAGCAATAATCGCAAATGCACCATTGCACGGGAAATCTCAGACGCGTGTGTAATTGCGTTTTATGCCACGAGATCACATACCATCTTCAGGAAGTAATTTAAGTTTTGAAGTTAGTTGTGCAACATTGACCTCTAGATTACTGTTGCAACTGTTGTTACTGCCTCTCGCATTCCCTTCTGGAAGATCAGTTCAGCATTCTCTTTTTCCCCTCGCTGCTTTAGTTGCTGTCGCGTTTCCAGTGTAGAAATTCCAAATGTGCTTTCCAGCGGCATGCATAGTTGCACAGTACGGAAGGTCTGGTCGACTAGTATAGTAGAAAGAGACATTTGGTATAGACAACAATCACGACATTGCACCCACAGTATCTTGTGTTAGAGTGGCAGGTCTGATGGCTTTTGTTGCGTCCTCTTCCTTGGTTATACTCTTCACCTCTGCTTTTGTTGCCGTGATATTATCTATTTACTGTTTTCCTTATGCCCCTCCCCTTCTTTCTCTTTCATTTACTCTCGGTTTTTCCCTACTTTCGTGTCTCCTTAGAGAAGGTTTCCATAAGTCTGATATTGATCCCAGTACATGCCTTTGTCGTCGTTCGTGTGAATTCTCAACACTCTGTGTGTGTGGCTGTGTGTATGTGGCTGTGTACTCACCTAGTTGAGGTTGCAGGGGTCGAGTCCTAGCTCCTGGTCCCGTGGGGCTGTGTGTGGGTGATGAGAAAAATGAGGAAGATGTTTAGCTTCAGCCTTAAATGAACCGATTGTGGTTCATCGAGGTGACTGACACCGTCAGTCTGATTGTGGTTCACTGAAATGACTGATACCCCCACACAATTGTGGTTCGCTACACGACAGAACAGCGGGTCCAATAGGGAAGCTCTCAACATTGCTGTCACTTGAAGGAGAGATGCTGTCAGGGCGGATTACAGCTTCATTGAATTGCCTAAAAGCGACCAGCTCAATACGTTGGTTACAGCAGACTTAGTTATAGCAGACATGGCTCCAGCAGACATGGCTCCAGCAGACATGGCTCCAGCAGACATCCTTAAAACGGGTATGGGCGTCACTACAAATATACTGGAATCAGAAAGGACAGTTATGGCTAAAATTGCAGTGACTTGCATCTCGAAATTCGAGACGAGACGGTGTTCTCGCATCTTCTCATCTCGCGAGATTGTGATGAGGGAAAAAGACAAGATAACGTCGCACTTCCGGCGATGCTGACGTTGCTATGGCTGCTTTCGCCAGAAGTGTGATAGCTGATGTGAACCCTAGTTACGTAATAGCTGATGTGAACCCTAGTTAGGAGATAACTGATGTGAACCCTAGTTTGGTGACATGTGAACTCAAGTTAGGAGATAACTGGTGTGTGGAACCCTAGTTACTAATACTAATGTGAACCCTAGTTAGGAGATAATGATGTAACCCTAGTTAGGTGACATGTCTGTGATGTGAACCTAGTTAGGTGACAGATGTGAACCCTAGTAGGAGATAACTGATGTGAACCTAGCTAGGTGACAGCTGATGTGAACCCTAGTTAGGTGACAGATGTGAACCCTAGTAGGAGATAACTGATGTGAACCTAGCTAGGGGACAGCTGATGTGAACCCTATTTAGTTGAAAGCTGATGTGAACCTAGTTAGGTGACAGCTAATGTGAACCCTAATTAGGTACAGAGCCAACACAGGCTATGCCAATCCCACTCAAGTCCAGGACTCCTCCGTGGGAATACAGAGATGGTGAAAAGTAGTGGAGTTGTAGCTATAAGGTGATCAGTCCCACAGACGGAATAGGTTTTATCATTATCTATCATGCACTTGTGTGTAATTTTTCTGAGGAGACATGTCGTTAACCTTTTTCAGTTCAGTTCAATGAAGGGAATATTTACCTCATACCTCACCCGACTCAGCACCTGACGTCTCATACCTCGCCCGACTCAGCACCCGACGCCTCATACCTCACCAGACGCCTCATACCTCACCAGACGCCTCATACCTCACCCGACGCCTCATACCTCACCGACGCCTCATACCTCACCAGACGCCTCATACCTCACCAGACGCCTCATACCTCACCCGACGCCTCATACCTCACCCGACGCCTCATACCTCACCAGACGCCTCATACCTCACCAGACGCCTCATACCTCACCGAGCCTCATATCCTCGACGCCTTTATACCTCACAAGCTCTATACTTCACCAACTCTTCATAACCTCAACCAAAACGCCTCATATTCACTAAACGCTCAATTACTCTACTAATCGCACTCAACTGCCCAAAACTCAATACCTCACCAGACCTTACCTCACCACACGTCTCCACCAGCGCTCATACCTCCAACGCTCATACCTCACCCGACGCCTCATACCTCACCAGACGCCTCATACCTCACGATCAGACCAGGATGTGATCTTCGTGTGCTTGATAATTATTATTATTATTTTATTAAAATTATTAATATATTAAAATTATTAACATTTTATTAAAATTATTAATTATTTTATTTTTTTATTATCACACTGGCCGATTCCCACCAAGGCAGGGTGGCCCGAAAAAGAAAAACTTTCACCATCATTCACTCCATCACTGTCTTGCCAGAAGGGTGCTTTACACTACAGTTTTTAAACTGCAACATTAACACCCCTCCTTCAGAGTGCAGGCACTGTACTTCCCATCTCCAGGACTCAAGTCCGGCCTGCCGGTTTCCCTGAATCCCTTCATAAATGTTACTTTGCTCACACTCCAACAGCACGTCAAGTATTAAAAACCATTTGTCTCCATTCACTCCTATCAAACACGCTCACGCATGCCTGCTGGAAGTCCAAGCCCCTTCGCACCACAAAACCTCCTTTACCACCTCCCTCCAACCTTTCCTAGGCCGACCCCTAACCCCGCCTTTCTCCACAACTCAAGTGACCACTCTTAAGTCATTCCTTTTGCTCCATTTTCTCACTTCCGAACCACCCTCAACAACCCTTCCTCAGACCTCTGGACATACGTTTTCGTAATCCCCACCTCCTCCTATTTCCAACTTACAACCTATCTTTTATTATCTCACACCACACATTGCCCTAAACATGAATCTAGCACATGCTCCACCTCTTCCTCACGCAACATTCATCACCACGCTTCACACCCATATAAGAGCGTGGTAAAACTATACTTCATACATTTCCCTCTTTGCCTCCAGGACAAAGTTCTTTGTCTCCACAGACTCCTAAGTGCAACCACTCACCTTTTCCCTCATAATTTCTATGATTCACTCATCTTTCATTGACCATCGCTGACACGTACCACTTCCAATTTACTGAATACATTCACTCTCAAACTACCTCTCCTCAAATCGAACCAATCTTTCTTTACCTAATCTTTTTTTTATCTCATAACTTACTTTTTCATTCTCATAAACACGTAAATAATAGGGATATCTTGCTACTATACTTTCAGCTTGGTCACACTTCACAACAACGTTCATGCTATATTATATGATAAATAGTTTATTTATACAAATAATTTTATTATAATATATATATATATATATATATATATATATATATATATATATATTTCTAAATAGCTCTTGTTCTTCCTTATTTCTTCTATTGTCCATGGGGAAGTGGAAAAGAATCTTTCCTCCGTAAGCCATGTGTGTCGTATGAGGGCACTTGTGCGGGAGCAATGGGCTCGGAACCCCTTCTCCTGTAGACATTTACTAAAAAAGAGAAAATTATTAATAATTTATTAAAATTTACCAAAATTATTTGATTAAAATTATTAATTTTTTTTAAAATTTTATATTTATATTAAAAAATAAAAAATATTTCATTACAAAGTGGATTATCTCGTGGTTTTCCCGAGGTATCACACTGGATAAATGCTTCAAAAAAGGGGGGTTAAATACCATTAACTTAGCGAGTTATATCAGTCTAGTTTGATAATCTATGGGAACATCAACGCCACGTACGATACGAATCCAAGCGGACATTTCGTAGACTTGTTCCTTTGATTTACACTTCAAGTTTTCCTAGTAACTGCTGTTTTTAACGAATAATATTCCTCACACAACCATTGTGTTGTGCCTCTCGGTGCATAAGTTGAAAAAAAATTGTTATTCCCTCCGCTGTACGAGAGTTTGGGTGCGGAGATCTCTGGTAGTTCAAAGAAGAAATTACTTTCAGTGTCCTCTGGACTGTGGTTGGGGAGGGTAGTATGTGTGTGTGTCTCTCCGTGGAGGCTCGGCGACAGCTGCTGTGTCGATGACTGGGAACCAAGCTACTCTGATATAGTGCGATTTTTAACGTCCCAGGGAACATTAGTGTACGTACGACCGGATGTATAGCACCTGAATACAGGTAAGTCACCGGCCAATGACACAGGTATTCGTAGAATATATAAATTTTTTTTATTACAGTATTGTGCTTATGGAAGGAATTTGTTTACATGAGAGAAGTCAGTGTTGTCCTGGTTATTTTTATTTAATAGAGATTTTTTTTCCTCTTTAATTCCACGTTTCTTGTTCAGTATTCTTGCTTCATTATTCTTCCCTCTATCCTTGTTTTTATATCCCTACCTCTGTATCCCAGCCTCTATATCCCAGCCTCTATATCCCAGCCTCTATATCCCAGCCTCTATATCCCAGCCTCTGTATCCTAGCCTCTATATCCCAGCCTCTGTATCCCAGCCTCTATATCCCAGCCTCTATATCCCAGCCTCTATATCCCAGCCTCTATATCCCTGCCTCTATATCCCAGCCTCTATATCCCAGCCTCTATATCCCAGCCTCTATATCCCAGCCTCTATATCCCAGCCTCTATATCCCTGCCTCTATATCCCAGCCTCTATATCCCTACCTCTGTATCCCAGCCTCTATATCCCAGCCTCTATATCCCAGCCTCTATATCCCAGCCTCTATATCCCTGCCTCTATATCCCAGCCTCTATATCCCAGCCTCTATATCCCAGCCTCTATATCCCAGCCTCTATATCCCAGCCTCTATATCCCAGCCTCTATATCCCAGCCTCTATATCCCAGCCTCTATATCCCATATCCCAGCCTCTATATCCCAGCCTCTATATCCCAGCCTCTATATCCCAGCCTCTTATCCCAGCCTCTATATCCCAGCCTCTATATCCCAGCCTCTATATCCCAGCCTCTATATCCCAGCCGGCGTCTTGATACAAGGAATTTGACATGATAAAAGTAAAAAAATATTTTTAATTGATAATTTTAATAATTACTAATTTAATAATTATTATTTTCCTATTTTTATTATTTTTTGTAATTTTTTAAGTATTTTTTTTACTCAATTCCAGTTTGTTGTCCTTGAAAGAGGTAACCCTTTTGGAAGGCAGACAGGGAGGGATGGCAGTGAGGGAGGGAGGGAAGGCAGTGAGGGAGGGAGGGAAGGCAGTGAGGGAGGGAGGGAAGGCAGTGAGGGAGGGAGGGAAGGCAGTGAGGGAGGGAGGGAAGGCAGTGAGGGAGGGAGGGAAGGCAGTGAGGGAGGAAAGGGAGAGGGAGAGAGGGATAGAATAGGAAGAGATAGCGGAGAGGGAGAGAGAACACGGATTTAGCGTACCAGTGTAAACGATACCTCGGAAGTTAAGTGAGGCTGACCGTGCGGGTGGACGCTTCAAGTGTAACAAACGGAAATGATAATGACAACAGATAACAGGAGAGCTGACATATAAAAGGAGAGCTGAGAGATAACAGGAGAGCTGACAGATAACAGGAGAGCTGACATAGGAAAGCTGGAAAATAACAGGAAATCTGAAAGTAACAGAAAAATGTTAATGTGTAGGTGATGTTGACTTTACGACGCTGACAGCTGGTTTTTCATGGTCGTGTGTGTGTAGTGTGTGTGTGTGTTAGTGTGTGTGTGTGTAGTGTGTGTGTGTGTAGTGTGTGTGTGTGTAGTGTGTGTTGTGTGTGTAGTGTGTGTGTGTGTGTAGGTGTGTGTGTGAGTGTGTGTGTGTGTGTGTGTGTAGTGTGTGTGTGTGTGTGTGTGTGTGTGTGTGTGTGTGTGTGTGTGTGTGTGTGTGTGTGTTGTGTTGTGTGTGTGTGTGTGTGTGTGTAATGTGTTGTGTAGTGTGTGTAGTGTGTGTGTAGTGTGTGTGTGTGTGTGTGTGTAGTGAGTGTGTGTGTAGTGTGTTGTGCTGTGTAGCGTGGTGTGTTGTGTAGTGTGTGTATAGTGTGTGTAGTATGCGTGTGTATAGTGTGTGTGACCAGACACGCCGGACCCGACGCACACTGGAACGGAGACGCTGAAACAGAAACGGTGGAACACAGACGCTGGAACAGAAACGGTGGAACAGAGACTGGAAGAGACTCCTTGTAAACATAAGTTCACTCTGGAAGTGAATCAATGTACTCGACAACCCTTACACTCTGGCAGTAGTAGTTTACCCATTAACCAAGCCATTTAATTAACCTAGTTTACAATACCATCAACACATTACACAAAGACCCGCTAACCATGGTGCACACGCAGTGCATTAGGTGCACAGTGCTCACTCAGAGTAATGCCAACTTTGACAGGGCGAAGCCTCTCTCAGCGCCTGGGTATACACCAGGAAGATTACTCAGTAAGACAAGTATATAATTGTATTTTTGAATGTGCAGGTTAAGAGGTGTTATTCTACCTTGTTATGGCTGAGAAGTGTTATCTTGCTTGCTACATCTGCTCATTTCAACAGCTAGCCCCCATCTGCCAGGAGGGATACCACTCCGGTACCCGCTTCTTGCTGAGTGAAGAGGGGTAGCAGGTGTAAGGAGACTAATGCCCGGGTACCTATTTACTACTAGGTGAAGAGGAGCAGCACCACAGTGTGTTAGAGGCTAAAACAAGTCGCACACTGTGTGTTAGGGTCTGTAAACAAACCACATATAGTTTCTTAGTGGCTGGAACAAAACACGTGATAGTCTACTAGAGGCTAGACTAGCAAACATTGTGTGACCTTTGCTAGAGCGGTCAAGCCAGCCTCTCCACCTTCCACAGCCTGTGTGACCTTTGGCCGGACCATCCTTGGTGTTCTCTATTGGCTGAGAGCCCACTTGACGGAAGCATTTTCTCTCTCTCTCTCTCTCTCTCTCTCTCTCTCTCTCTCTCCTCTCTCTCTCTCTCTCTCTCTCTCTCTCTCTCTCTCTCTCTCTCTCTCTCTCTCTCTCTCTCTCTCTCTCTCTCTCTCTCTCTCTCTCTTCTCTCTTTTCATATTTTCTCTTTCTTTTTCTATTCTCTTTTCTATTTTTTCTCTATCACACACACACACACACACACACACACACACACACACACACACACACACACACACACACACACATACACACACACACACACACACACACAATATCTTCGGCCTAAATATTTATACGTAACTTCAAAAACTTATTATTAAATGACTTTTGAAATCATAACAGACATGACTGCTTTCCAAATGCGTCTTTGTGTGGGAATTGCCAATGATATCTCAAAATCTGCCAAACTTTCACATAATTTAGTTTGAGATTGATTATATATATATAATATATATACATATATAGATTATATATATATATATATATATATATATATATATATATATATATATATATATATATATAATTAAGATCATAATTTTTGCGTTGATGCTGTTTTCAGTTTGATTTTTTTCAGTATTACTATTTATTTTTTAATAAAACTGGTACCAAGAGTAGAAATTCTCACAGAACAAAGGGAAATGTTAGAGGTATAAGCATGGAACCACTGGTTAGTTAGTTACTAGTTATCAAAAGCACTTGTTTTGTGTGTGTGTGTGTGTGTGTGTGTGTGTGTGTGTGTGTGTGTGTGTGTGTAGTAGTGGTAGTAGTTGATTGTTGCCAAAAAGGCACTTGTCGATAGACACTTGGCCTGTTTCTACACCTATAGGTATGGAAAATGACACGTGTACAGTTCCGAACATTTATTCAGTGGTTGCAGGAGTCGAGCCACAGCTCTTGGTCCCGCCTCTTCACTGGTCGTATGTATGTGTGTGGGTGTGTACATGTGTATGTACGTGGGCCGTGCATGGGGCTCGCAGGGCGAGGCAACCCAAACCGGTTTAGAGAGGGAGTTAGAAGAGAGAGAGAAAAAATGCAAAGAGTAACGGAGTAAGGTGTAACCTCCAGTGTGTGTTGAATTATCCTCCTTGTGTGACCTGAACCACCAGTGTAGAACTGAACTATCAAAAATATATATATATATATATATATATATATAATATATATATATATATATATATATGTGTGTGTTTGTGTGTGTAAAAATCTCCAGCTCCTCCGAAGCTGGATGCGAGCCAAGAATGTAGCAGGCATTCCCCCTCTGGATGACCACACTGAGATGCTGGAACATGAAAGTGGCTGCCCTTGGGTTGCACGTTTTCCCCATGGTTGCAGGGTCTCCCATCCTGCTGCAAAAAATTGGTACTGATGGCCCAAGTCTTTGTAATTTATGAGTTTGTATTCTTTCTTGTCATCGATGTTATGATGAATGTTGGCGTCAGCCAGAGTCGACACTCAGGTGTAGTCGCAGGCTGAAAGTCTGCCGTTCTTCCAGGGATAAATTGTGATCCCGTCAGGGCGGTTATCGGGGCTATGAGGACTGCTAGGAATCAGGGCACCCAGCCAGGCACCCAGCCGGAGCGAGGCTCCTCTTGATGTCATCTGTGTCTCGCGTGCCGACCCTTGGTTTTGAAACAGTTCAGGCTATGTAGACCGTATCGGTCACCTTCCTCATCTACACGGAGTCTACGTGGAGGTTTTTCTGGGGGTCGACGCCCCCGTTCATGACCAGGCCTCACGGTGAATTAAGATCTGATCAATCAGGCTCTTATTGCTGGTCACACGCAATCCAACATACGAACCACAGCCTGGGTGGTCAGGCACTGACTTTAGGTATCTATCCATTTCCCTCTTGAAGTCTGTAATCTCCTTTATGTATGATGGGAGGCTGTTGAGCAGCCTTGGAGCCCTGACACTAATCATGGCACCTTTGCTTTTCATTAGCGGATGTTGTACTGTCTGCCGAGTCTTTTGCTTTCGTAGGGAGTGATTTCTGTGTGTAGATTTGGGACCAGTCCCTGTAGGGGTTTCCAGATGTAAATTATGATGTACCTTTCCCGCCTGCGCTCCAAGGAGTACAGGTCAAGAGACTTCAAACGTTCCCAGTAATTGAGGTGCTAGACTGGACTTAAACATGCATTGAAGGCCCTCTGTACATTCTCCAGATCCGCACTTTCGCCAGCCTTGAAGGTGGTTAGTGTGCAGCAGTATTCCAGCCTAGATACAATTGGCTATTTACTCACTTTTCTGAATTCTGTTCAGCTCAAGCCTTCAATTTTCT